GGTTCTGGTGCATGTCCTAAGGCTGCAATGGGGTCAAATTTGTTGTGAAAAAGTAATGGAGAGTTGGTGGCTGCTTCTAAAAATGTTGTGGATTTTGAAGGTAATTTTGTATCGAAAGATTGAGGTAATTTTCTTGATGAACTCGACGATGCCGATAATTGTCTTGAAGCTTCTGATTGAGCCGATTTAACAGTATTGCTGAGTGGCGCCTTGAATGGCGTCCCATAATTGTCTTTAGAGCTTTTGCTCATTTTCCTGTAAAAACTCTCTTGTTAAATAATCTGGTAATGTGTTTGACTCTCCTTTGATATGCTCAATTTCAAAATCGAAGCATGATAATAGAGCTTGCCATCTGACAAAAATATGTTTTGAAACTAAATTTTTAACATCTTTTTGTAAAACTGATGGAGCTGCTTTACAATCAGTTCTAATTAAAAATCTTTTTAAAAATAAATCATCTTGAAATTTTTGAAGACATAAAACTATTGATAAAATTTCTTTTTTAACTGTTGAATATTTTTGCTGAGCTGGGTGCCAAATACCTGAATGATATCTGACCACTTGTTCTTTTGATAAAATCTTTTGCTTTAAAATCCCCCCATATCCTAAGTCTGAGGCATCTGTCTCGACAATAAGATAGGCTTCTGGGTCAGGAATCCCTAAATAGGGTAATTTTTTGACTATTTGTTTAACTTTAATAATAACTTGGGTCATTTCTTGGTCCCACGGTTTTGGATTCTTTCTAAGTCTTGCATATAATGGGGCACAAATAACTCGGATATTGGGAATAAAGTCGGCTACGTAATTGACACAACCTAGAAATCTCTGGAGTTGGGTCTTATCCTTTATTTCATTTGGAAATTTTTCTGAAAATTCTATTGATCTTTGGATTGGTGTAATGGTTCCCTGATAAATTTCATAGCCTAAAAATCTTATTTTAGTTTGAAATATTTTAATTTTCTTGGCTGACACTACTAATCCATTTTTTTTAATTAAATTAATAAATGTTCTTAAATGTTCTATATGTTGATTAATAGAGTTGGAAAATATTAATACATCATCTAAATATACTAATGCAAATTTCATATATGGGTAAAAAATATCATTCATAATATTTTGATATTCAGAAGGGGCATTTTTTAATCCAAATGGAAGTACATTCCACTCGTAATGTCCAAAAGGAACATTAAAAGCAGTTTTGTACTTATCTTCCTCTTTCACCCCAATTTGATAATAACCATATTTCATATCAAATTTTGAAAATATGGTAGCGTGATTTAATCTTTTAATTAGATCTTGTTTATTAGGTAAAGGATACCTAATCCATTTTAATACTTTATTGAATGGTTTATAATTAATAACTAATCTTGGTGCTCCTCTTTCTAGTTCAGAAGCATTTAATACATAAAAGGCGGAACAGCTCCAAGGAGATTTTGAGGATCTAATTAATCATTTTTCTAAGTATTCTTGAATCTCTTTTTTACAATATTCTAAATATTGAGAATTCATTTGTATTGGTCTTGCTTTAGTATTAATATTCTTTTCATCAAAATTTTCTATATATGGTAATGATACTTCATACTTCTTTCTATGCCAAAAAGCTGTTGGGTTTAGTTCACAAATTTCTTGTTCAATTTGATTATTAATTTTCTTAATAATTTCTTGAACATTTTTATTTAATAACTGTTCTTCTATTCTTTTATATTGAATTTCTTTAGTTAAAAAATTGATTTGTTTTCTTTTGTTTTCTATAATATACTTTTTTCTCTTAATAAGTTTAATTCTCTTGATCTTGGTGGATGTATAAATTCAAAACATATTATATTGTCTATTACTTGAGTTTCTAATCCTTTTGTAGTAACTTTAAAAGGATATAATAATGATAAAAAGGGTGTTCCTAATATACAAGGAATGTTCATATTTTGTATTAATACAAAAGAAACTTCATAACAAATTTTGTTCTTACAAATTTTTGCGGATGATAATTTATAATTAATTTTCATATAAGAGTTATTAGCACTCAAAACTTTTTCAGAAGATTTTTCATAATATTTTGAGGGAATAATGCCTTCTTGTAAACAATTAAGATCTGCCCCTGAGTCTATTAATGCGACTATATTGAATTCTTCATTTTTAACTAATAATTTAATATTGCAATGCCATTTATGAGTTGTTATTAAGTTTAAATAATTAACATCTTCTATTGAACTTGAAGGTTGATCTATTTTAATATTTTCTTGTTCTCTAACTTTTTCTTTTCCTTCTAATTCTAATAATCTATATTTGATAGATATATTATCTTGTTTTAGATTGGTAATTTCTATTTTTAAATTTTTAATTTCTTCTTGTACATCTTTAACAGTAACAGGAGTTTGTTGTCTAAATCTTGAATATATTTCTTTTAAATATACTTCTTTAACTTCTTGTTCTTTTTCATCTGCTTTTAATAATTCTTCTAATTTATTAATGAATTCAATTCTAATAGGACCATGTTCTAATTTTGAAATTAAGTCTATTAATGTATGGATTTGATCTACTGTTAACATATTAATAGTTTTACAGTCACTACATGTACAAAGACCTGGGCCTAAGCAACTATCTTCATCTTGAGAATGACTCGAGCTAGAGTCTTCTTCTTCTAGTTGATAAATAATTTCAGTATTGCTTTCTTCATCAGAAGTAGAATCGCTCTCTTCTGATTATGAATTAATCATTATTGCTATTAGGGACTTTTTTAATGATTCATCCATTTCTAATGTATTAATTTTTTGTTGAACTTTACATTTGTTGGCAAAGTGGCCTGTTCTTCCACATTTCCAACATGTAACATTTTTTTGTGATTTTGGGCTTTGAACTAATATTGGGCTTTTCAAAGTTCTTTGAATAATTTTTATTTTTCTTGAAAGATTTTTTGTAGGGATTTTTGTAATTATTATAAGGCTTTTGATAAGGCTTTTGAGAAACAAATTGTTTTCTCTTGGCCTTTTTCTTAACTGCACTAGGTGCTCTAATAGGCTCTACTCCATATTGTTCACAAAAGTTTCCTATTTCTCTCTTGTTGGTTCCGGCTTCTTTTCTAAGCTTGTTTTGGAGTTTAAAGTCATTACAGACTTGTATTCCGGTGTCAATAATAATACTATGTATTTGTCCATATGTAAGGGTGTTAAAGGGTATTGGTTTACCAAAATGACTTTCTAATTTTATCTTGACCTTTTCAGAAAATAGTTTTGGTAATCCTGCAAGGAACCTTTCCTTCCAGAATCCTTGAAAACCATCTTCTCTTAGGGTAATCTTGGACATAAATATATCTCTATACCATCGGTAATCGGACATTGTTGGACAATAGAGATTTGCTAGCTGACTAGCTACTCTATCTTTAAAAGTAGTGGGATCTCCTACAAAGTGTTGAATAATAGTGTAAATGAGGGAGGCAACTGCATCCTCTTCACCAGTTTCTAATTTTACTGCATTTAATATTGATTCTCTATCAGCTTGTGTCCAAAAATTGTTCCACCAACCTTTAAGTTGGCCAGTAAATCCTTGGACTATTGTTAAGGCGGTGGCCTTGTCAGAGTTTCCTCTTCTCTTGTAGGCACTAGCTGCCATAAACATCATACAAATATGATCTAGTAAATTCTGCTCACTCATACCATCTATATTCCATTCAACTATATCACTTCCTGAATAACAGTTTTGTACTAATTCTCCTCGTTCTTCGTAAAGAACATCTGCCGGAGAAGGCCTGGGATAATAAGTTCTTGTTTTTGGATAATGAGTCTTAATTTTATTAACTGAAACGTCATTTGTGTCTATGGTAATGATTGAAGGTTTTCCTAATGTTAATTTAGATAATAAATCTATATTTAATAATTTTAAAATATTTTTTAATATTCAATAATTAAAAACATGAAGAAATAAGAAATAAGATAAAATATATAAGTGAAATAAGAAAAAAAATATGAGAAATTTTAAATTCTTACTTTTTTGAAAAAATTTGAAATTTTACTATTTCAAGAAATTTTGCAAATGCTTGAATTTTAAATTCTTTATAAATTTTCCATCCAAATAAGGTATTTTACTTCAAAAAATTTAAAATTCTTCAAACAAATAAATTACTCCATTTAAATTTTTCATCCATACACACTATAAGTTCTTTTTTTTCCTCTCAAAAAAAATTTAGAATACTTTGCCACTTAACAAATATTTATAAGGGATGAAGATATGTCTCTCAATCTCCCAAATGCAGCCTTTAGTGGTATTATTCAAGAGTTACATGATATACAATAATTTAATTATCACTTATTCGTTAATTTATATGGTGCTTCATCAATTAAAGGAAGTGATTTCAACAAATATGAAATCTTCTTATTTGTAGGTAAGATCTAACAGGATACCGAACTACTTCAATTCATGTTTAATAGGAAGATGATCACAGAAGGTTTTAAGGCTTAAAAATCACGGGAGAGGCAGAGATATCACAAAAGTATCATAGAAGGAAGACCTAATAACCCTCGTATTTTATTCATGCACTATTTTTTTTTTGTTCATATATATTTGACTCTTTTTATTTATCCAGAATTTTTGTTTTATTTTCGCTAATGGTACACCTAACAACAAACATAACATTAATAATTAATGTTGATAAAATTAAAGTTCAGAATTATAAAAAAATGGGAATACTTCTGAAATTTAACACACTCGTTGGTAAGGACATTGTTGAAATGAAATTTAAAAAACAAGTGATATATTGATAGAAAAAAAAAAAAAAAGTGGACCTAAATTAAAATAGCTAGGTTGATACATGTGCCGACCAGTGTTGGGCTGTTGTTTTCATGTACCAAAGAGATTCCCGCGTTCTACACTTTCGCTGCTCATGAAGTCATATCTTTTAGCAGAGCATGTTCAATGAGTAAAGGTTCACAATAAATTACAAATGTGAACATATATAGTATTAATCTTTTTTAGGATTTGAGAAAAAGATTTATGGGAAACACCTCAAGTAAAAACTAGTTGTACTCCTTTACTATATAGATACCGAAAATTATAATATTAATTAATACACGCACAAACTTACTATTATATATATAAGAGATGCACCATTATATATGTTCTTAGGTAATTAATTACATATATTATACCTTTCTCTCACCCATATCTAACATAACATGTAAGAGGATCAGGATCAGTACACTTCATATATGCATAGTATTCCAGAAATCTCAGAAGCAAATGTCCAAACAACAGTAGCAACACATTCCAGCACAACTGCAAAGAATTAAATTGAAATAAATAAATAAATAATATTAGTCATACATTGTACAATTACTAAAAGCGTGAATATATATATATATATATATATATATATATATATATATATATATAAAATATAAA